ATCCCTCACTTTCTGTGCTGGCCATCGGGCAAACTAGGCAAATTCCTGCTGGGTCACGATGGCCATGGTCCGAGGCCAGCAGTAGAGATCAGAGGATCTCCAATGCCAGCCCAAGGAGGGCCCATGCTATCCAAGCGCCGGCCCTGCTGTGTGCCACAACTGGCACCTTACTGTAGCAGCCAGCAGGGGAGTGGGACCCGGTAGCTCTGTTGGGTTCTTCCTCTTGCGAGCTCAGAGTGCTGCTGCGGTTACCATGGCAATGCTCCAATCTCGGGAGAGTGAACTCTAACTCTATGAGCTGCAGGCTAGAGTTCACTCACACCTAGGAAACCCATGGCTTCAACACTGGACCACAAGGGCTCTGCCCCATTCCTGGCAGAGGTAAAAAAGAGGGATATGAAGTATATATTTTTAATTAAAATAAATACATATATATTTTTGTAATAATCTGCCCCCCCCACAAGATATTCACGCACATTGCATCCCTCACTCACACAGTGCAACTGTCACACACACACACACTGCATCCCTCACACACACAGTGCAACTGTCACACACACAGTGTACCCCTCACACACACACACTGCACCCCTCACACACACACTGCACCCCTCACACGCGCACTGCACCCCTCACACACAGTACTCCTTTACAACACGAACTCCTATACACACTCTGCATCCTAAGCACACACAATAAATCTCCTATACATACTCTGAATCGGATCCTAAGCACAGGCAATAGATCTCCTATACACACTCTGGTTCCTCCACACTCACATACTAGAGCACACACACCACACACTGTACATTCCTGATCTACACACTATCGATCCCCTGTAAGCAAACACATACTACATTCCCTAAACTTTACAATCCCTAAACACATTACATCATCTATACACACATACACTACAGCCCCTATGCACACACTTGCTAAATCCCCTATACACACTGTGACAAAACACCATCTCTCTGGCCCCGACAATTTCTCAGTGGGCCGTTTTGATTAAAAAAATGCAAATTCGTTCCCAGTCCGGTCCTGCCGAACACCCATCCCATCCTCAGGTACGTTCAAATCGCTTGTTTCCCTCACTGCCCTATGTATATATGTCTTTATCCCTTTAGAGTGTGAGCTTGTTTGGGCAAAGCCCTCTTCACCTACAGTTCCCATATTTCATACGTGCTCGGTTCTAATTAAATGTTTGTCTTGTTTACCTATTGTACAGCGCTGCAGAATCTGTTGGCTCTATATAAATTATTTCAATTTTATGGCAAGACAGGAGGCTTCATATTTGCTTATCTTTATTTACTGAAAACCTCCAGTTGCAAAGAAACAATTAACAATAGATAGATAGAAATCAACCACTCAGGGAGCATGACTGTAATATATATTATAATCCTAACTCCTCCTTCTTTGCTGCTCGCCTCCCAGGTGAGTCTATTCCAATAATACTGCTTTTGAAGTGAATTTATATTATACATAATATTTGATTCTTAACAATTTTCTTTAATTTTAATATTGTTAATCATCTTAGTTTGAGACATTATTTATTTATGTATTATTTATCCTTATATGAATTTTAAAATTTTTCTTGTATCCGTTTTTATTATTTATTTTGCCCTACCTAGTTAGCCTTAAATAGATTCACAGCCGTTTTAAATCCGTCGGGTCATTTTTATAAAGGGTGTTTTTCGCCATTATTCCGGCTGCGGTCTAATTCCTCTAGAAGAGGAAAAAAACAAGCGCCCCCAGATTCCATTTCCCAGAGCACTGCGGTCTTGCGTTTTTTCCCAGATATACCTTTTCTTTGTCACAATGTGTTCGTCAATACATCTGTATTGCGACTCAGCTAAGAGCACCCTCGGGCCCTCTTTTCGTGTCATATGTCCGACCCCATAAACCAGTCTCCTGCCCGACAGTTGCACGTTGGATTAGGTGGCTACACACTTTAGCAGGGATTGACCCGTCTTTTTGTGCCCATTCAGTCAGAGGTGCAGTGGTATCCTCTGCATTGGGCACAGGAGGCTCCCTGAATGATATCTTAGCCTCTGCAGATTGGTCTGTAGATTGGCTACTTTCCGGACCTTCTATTTCAGACCAGTGTCCCATGCTTCTCTATTAATGATTTCTCAACTTTAAAATAATAATATTAAGCCTCCTGTTTTGCCATAAAATTAGGGAATATTCTATTTTAAGTGACCGAATAATCTAAATTTTAGTAAAAACAGGAGGCGAATATTTTCCCTCCCTTCTTCTCTCCCCACCCTGTTCTGTACTACTTAACACACCTCACACGTGTCTTACAGATTCTAGTTCATACTTTATGCATTATAACTATTTATGACACTAGACTTTTGTTGTTACCTAATTAATTGGTATTATAGTATTCTAGGCCTACTTGTTTAAATCTATTTGATGTAGTATATGGCACGTTATCTTCGTATATCACTACACTCACTAAATTAGACTAATGGACGTTAGCTTTATCATGTTATCTGTAGCCTTAACGTAGGAACTAGGACATTGTATTGGCGTTTCCTTTTTTTTTTCTTTCCAGTGTGAAAATCCATACGCTTTACTACACGGATCCCTCTTCGGTTCCTACTTTACCTGGTTGACTATTCAACTGCAATTCTGTGTGTTCATATCGTTTCTCGTTTACATGGTTGACCCTACTACGACTCAGAAAGCATCACGAAAGAGGAGTTGGGAGGAGCCTGATTACAATACATATTGCTGTCATGCATAATTGGAATAGACTCACCTGGGAGGCGAGCAGCAAAGAAGGAGGAGTTGGGACTATAATATCATGCTATCACAGTCATGCTCCCTGATTGGTTGATTTTTTTTATCTATCTATTGTTAACTGTTTCTTTGCTGCTGGAGGTTTTCAGTAAAGAAAGATAAGCAAATATTCGCCTCCGGTCTAATAAAATTCAGATTATTCGGTCATTTAAGGTAGAATAATCCCTAATTTGATAATGTTTTCCTGTTGTCAGTTGGTCTTAGTGATCTTTGAAGAATGTGGCCAGAAGTTGAGCTATAGTGGGCATTGAAGACAGGATCAGAACTCTGGATAGTTGTGGAATTCAAAAAGCCGACATGGATGAATGGGTTCGATTACTGTCCCACCTCATGCACTAGTCTTGTGTGGGGCAGAGATAATTCCCCATTGCTTGGCCTATGAAGATCCAGCCAAACCACAAAAACAGTTTTGGTCACTCAGACCTTAACCTTAAGATAAGCTAGCTCATTAAAGATTTTGTAGCTGGATGTGTTTTCCAAGTTAAGGAGAAGGGCTACCTCCCATTCTTGTAGTTCCAAAAAGCAGAGATGTGTCTGCAAATGTAGACAACATGACTGAGCAAGTGACATAGAATGTCTGCTGGGCAAGGGGTCAGTGCAGGTCAAGACTGAGCATTGTAAAGATAGATATGTGAAAGGTTTAAGATTACAATCTTAGAACCAGGATAAGAGAGGATTCCAAGAGGTGATGAGGTCAGCACAACTAAAAAAAATCAGAGTTAACATGGGTTAAAAGGCCTAAATAAGGCACGGCTTGCTAGACCACAATTTAGGAATATTTTCAGACATACAACACAAACACCTACAAATCCTGTATCTATCACGTCCAACTCAAAGCGTATTAAATGCTGATAATGCAATTATATATTTTTTACCATATTGGTCATGTGTCAGAAAAAAAAGGCATATTTTCACAATTCGGCTTCAGTTTCTAATTTTCGCAATTTTCTGTTTAATAAATACACCTTTAGAGGTTTATCCCATAAACTGGAAATTTTGGGGAATCGGTAACTGAGTTGCAAAATTGAAACTAAAATAGCAAAGCTGTGATTATGGTGGAGTTGAAGGAATTTGGAGACTTATTTTTTCCAATTGACTACACTTCACTAGTTGGCAAATAAACATGCTTTAACCACTAAAGAGTTAATTAAAGGATCACTATAGTGTCAGGAAAACAAAGTGGTTTTCCTGACACTAGAGTGCCCTGAGGGTGCCCCCACCCTCAGGGTCTCCCTCCTGTGGCACTGAAGGAGTTAAAACCCCTTCAGCAGCTTACCTTATTCCAGCGCCTGGCTCCCTCGGTGCTGGTGACCTCTCCTCCCCAGCGGAGCCAAATGCGCATGCTCGGTAAGTGCCGCACGTGCATTCAAAGTGTCCATAGGAAAGCATTTCTCAATGCTTTCCTTTGGACGCTCTGCGCAATAGAGGCATAATATGCCTCCAGCGTCGCAGACGCGCCTCTGACAGCTGTCCGGAAGACAGCCACTAGAGGCTGGCTTAAACCCAAATGTAAACATAGCAGTTTCTCTGAAATTGCTATGTTTGCATCTGCAGGGTTAAAACCTGAGGGACCTGGCACCCAGACCACTTCATTGAGCTGAAGTGGTCTGGGTGACTATAGTGTCCCTTTAATCTGAATTAAAGGGACACTATAATCACCAGAACAATCACAACTTATTGTATTTGTTCTGATGAGTATAGTATGTTCCTGCAGAGAAAATACACTGTTTACATTACAACATAGGGATATCTCCACTGGCCACTCATCAGATGGCTGCTAGGGGTGCTTTTTGGGTCAGTGCTGCACAGTGTGACTGACATTCAGTGTCTCCACCCTCTGCATTTAGACAATGAACTTTTCTCATAGAGGTGCATTGATTCAATGTATCTCTATAAGGAGATGCTGATTGGCCAGGGCTGTGTTTGGCTCTGCCCCTGGCCTGTCTCCTTGGCTGAGTTTATCAGAATTGACAATCTCAGCCAATCCAATGCATCACTTCTGATGATATCAGCTAAGGAGGCAGATCAGGGGCAGAGCCAGCACCAGCAGAATGGAATAAAGGTAAGCTTTTACTATATTTTTGTGTTCCTGACCCTATAGTGTTCATTTAAATTTAAAAATATAATGTTTTGGCTAATACAAAATGGCTAACACAGGTTATATTTTCTCCAAATTATTTATTTTCAGATAACCATTGTATTTGAGGTGCCAACTCATCACACTTCACTCTTTAGTGAGTAACCCATCAATTTTTAATGTATATATCATCAGGTGTTGGACTTTATACATGAAAAAAAAGTCAACATCCTAGTTCGGGTGGTTGTTAGCAGAAAAATGATACATCCACATTTCGTAGAATCATATTAAGGAAACACAAGATAACACTTACACACATGAAGGTTTGTTATTTGTGACTGAAAGCCAAGAAGAGGCCGGACGGCACTCAAAGATTTTTGTTTGAGCATTAAATAATGTTTGCATAAATAAATGTTACCAGTATGGGGTGTATATTCTGATTCCTATTGTTTGTACATTATATTAAGAGTCATAACAAATAAAAGAGATCCAAGGCTACATAAACATCAGGCTGATTTGGTGGATTGGTGGAACGTCCTTACACCATAACCTTATAGCTGCAGTTATAATACACTGTGTGCAGGGAGACAGGGGTCCTCCTTACACCATAACCTTATAGCTGCAGTTATAATACACTGTGTGCGGGGAGACCGGGGACCTCCTTACACCATAACCTTATAGCTGCAGTTATAATACACTGTGCTGAGCATAGGAACGCCCCAAGCACCATAACCTTTATAGTTGCAGTTATAAATACTACCTCACAAAGTGCGGGGAGACAGGGACCTCCTTACACCATAACCTTATAGCTGCAGTTATAATACACTGTGTGCGGGGAGACAGGGGACCTCCTT